GGGATTCGAACCCGCCACCTCAAGTGTATGTGGCTGGCGCCTTAGCCGCTTGAGCCACAGGCGCCAAGCCATAATTTTGCTACTATTATGTATCATAATGTAAATATCTGATATGCAGGATATATTTAGGCAACCCCTGTGAAAGGGTCATTTGACTCCCAAAAGGGTCATGATCCACAGGTGGAGAACCCTGGTTTAGACCTTTAAAAATTATTTTCAGAGTGGTGCCTGTGGCTCAGTGAGGCAGGAGAATTACCTAAGCCCAAGAGCTGGAGGTTACTGTGAGCTGTGATGCCATGGCACTCTACCGAGGGTGACAAAGTGAGACTCTGTCTCTAAATAAATAAATAAAAATTATTTTCAGAGTACTACAGAGGTTCATGAAAAACCTAATGTTAGAGGTTTGGGAATCTTAAGAAAACAGGTTTTCTTTTTCTAACATATTGTCTTTATTATGTGCTCCTTTCTTTTTTTTTTTTTTTTTTTTGAGCCTTAAGCTATCCCCCTGGGTAGAGTGCTGTGGCATCACAGCTCACAGCTGTGGGCTCCTGGGCTCAAGCGAGTCTCCTGCCTCCGCTTCCCAAGTATCTGGGACCACAGGCGCCTGCCACAATGCCCAGCTGTTTTTTGGTTGCAGCCATCATTGTTGTTTGGCAGGTCCGGGCTGGATTCAAACCCACCACATTAGGTGTATGTGCCTGGCACCTTAGCCGCTTGAGCCACAGGTGCTGAGTCATGTTCCTTTCATTAAATGGAGCAGCTTGTAGCCTAGTGTAGGAGCTGCTGTAAATGGGGTGATGACTGCTTAGTCCTTGAGCATCCAAGGAGTCACTTTCCCAGAGCTGCCAGGGAGGTCCTTTTAGATAGCCACAGAGAAGACATGGGCCTTGCTATATTATTGGTGTGAGGAATCCAATGTCAAATTGTTATATATATTTTTTCTTTTGTGGTAATATATTCAGTTTTTATTTTTAAAGCTTTTGCAAATTTATCTATTACTTCAGTGGAGTTATCTTTTTTAAATTATTTTTTATTAAATCATAACTTTGTCTATTGATGCATTTATGGGTTTTTTTGTTTGTTTTTTCTTTTGAGACAGAGTCTCAAGCTGCCACCCTGGGTAGAATGCTGTGGCATCACAGTTCACAGCAACTTCGAACTCCTTTGGGCCTAAGCGATTCTCTTGCCTCAGCCTCCTAAGTAGCCCACAGGTGCCCACCACAACGCCCAGCTATTTCTTGTTGCAGTTGTCGTTGTTTAGCTGGCCAAGGCTGGGCTTAAACCCACCAGCTTTGACGTATGTGGCTGGTGCCGTAACCACTATGCTATGGGTGCCAAGCCATAAAAATATATTTTTAAATGTCATATTTTCCCTGTTAATACCTATTTTCCTTTGTTCCTAGGAAGCCAGTGCTATGCCCTGTCCTCTATCAACTGGGGGCAGACCTCTGCCTACTTTAGAAGCTAAACCACCTGAAAGGTCTTCCAGCAAAAGCAAAGATCCACCAAGAGAAGAAGAAAAAGAAAAGAAAAAGAAAAAGCACAAAAAAAGATCTCGAACAAGATCACGTTCTCCCAAGTATCACTCATCGTCCAAATCCAGGTCTAGATCACACTCAAAAGCAAAGCATTCTCTTCCCAGTGCCTACCGGACTGTGCGGCGGTCTAGGTGGGTGTGCAGGGCTGCGCCCTCTGCTGCTGTGGTCCCTCTGTCTGTGTGCACGAGGTGTGTCCTGCTGATGCCCAGGAGAGCTGGGTGGAGAGTTTGAAATAAGTGCAGCTTTCATTACGCAGACGCGTGTGGGTGTGCATGTGTGTGTCTTGCAAGTCCAAGTAAGATCTTTTAAAACTGTTTTTTGTTTTAGACTTTTCAAAGCTCATCAACTACTGCCATATTTAAAAAGTGGATTTATTTAAATTTTAGCAGGTCCTGGAAGCAAGTCTAGCATATTTGCTGAATATGTGAAAAATTCACAGGGTAGTGTGTCAGGAATCCTTGTTTTATTTGTATGAATGAACTTTCTCATGCTAACTTCATTCGATTGTATAAGTTTTCAAGACAGAAGAAATCTCTACCACTTGGTGTATATTGGGATTCTCCTGCATAGCATCTGCCAATGCATGTAGAGTGGAGGAGAGTGCAAATCTATCTCATGTGATTGATCTGCCTCTGCACACCTCCTGCTAAGAGTCGATGCTGAACCAAAAGCCTTCATCACCAGGAGCTAGTTTTTGAAATAGCAGCTTCATGTTAATAGCAACAGAAATAACAAAAATATTTAAGGGTCTTGGAATTTACTGCTTACTGTAACAGTTTAAAAAACAATGGCTCTCTTGCAGGAGGCTCAGAAAGGCACATACTATCTTTAGGACTCCCAACAGACCTTTGATTTGTTGTATTGCTTGACTCAGAATTCTGAGTCTCTCCAACACAGCACTTGTGTTATAATCTGGTTTTTCTTCTATAAATGATGTTAGGTCTTTTCCATAGGAAAAATGCAGTTCCCCTGTATGCTTTATGTTTTTTAGAAAAACAGCATAGGGCAGCACCTGTGGCTCAGTGAGTAGGGCGCTGGCCCCATATACCGAGGGTGGCGAGTTCAAACCTAGCCTCGGCCAAACTGCAACAAAAAATAACTAGGCATTGTGGCAGATGCCTATAGTCCCAGCTATGCGGGAGGCAGAGGTAGAATCACCTAAGCCCAAGAGCTGGAGGTTGCTGTGAGTTGTGATATCACGGCACTCTATGGAGGGCAGCAAAGTGAGACTCTGTCTCTTAAAAAAAAAAAAAAAAGCATAGACCAGGTGTGGTAGCTCAAGCCTATAATCCCAGCACTTTTGGAATTCGAGGCTGGAGGTTTGTTTGAGGTCAGGAGTTCAAGATTAGTCTGAGCATAGCAAGACCCCATCTCTACAACATACAGAAAAATTAGCCAAGTGTGGTGATGCACACCTGTAATCTCAGCTACTTGGGAGACTGAGACAGGAGGATAGCTTAAGCCCAGGAGCTTGATGTTGCTATGAGCTAGGCTAATGCCGCTGCCCTTATGTTCAGGCAACAAAGTGAGACTGTATTTCTAAAAACACATACACACACACACATATATAAAATTTTACACATTTGCCTCTGAATGTACTCTAAAAATAACATGATTTCCTTATTCTTATACAGACCAACCTCTAAAAATTTGATAAGTATTTATACAAACTTTGTTGCAATGAAATTGGATTTGCCTCCATGATAAATTTGATCTTTCACTATCTGCATTTTTGCTAGTTCTTTAGAAATTTCATCACTTCTTGCTCTTATGCACACAAGAATAAAACTTAATTTTTAATTAAGTGAACAACTTTGCTCATACATCCCAGGAATTTCTATTATTTATCAAAACTTTTTTTAAGTTGCTTATTTGAGAAAGTTTCCTATGACATTATGAAGATAAATAATATAGGCCTAAATAAGCCTTCTCTTGATAAACCAAGTTCAGTAAAATTCTTCCCATTCTTTTCATATGGCTCAAACAAAAGGAAGTATAATTCCTTCATAAATCTCCAATCTTAGGGCTTGATAATTGTGAAGAGATTTGCTGAGGTTTAATGTCAACTTGTTTAGGTTCAGCGCCTGTGGCTCAAGCGGCTAAAGCGACAGCCACATACACCTGAGGTGGCGGGTTCAAATCCAACCTGGGCCTGCCAAACAACAATGATGTCTGCAACCAAAAAAATAGCCAGGTGTTGTGGCGAGTGCCTGTAGTCCCAGCTATTTGGGAGGCGGAGGCAGGAGACTTGCTTGAGCCCAGGAGTTGAAGGTTGCTGTGAGCTGTGATGCCATGACACTCTGCCCAGGGCAACGGCTTGAGGCTCTGTCTTAAAAAAAAAAAAATGTCAATTGTTTAGCAGACATAGTAGATTCTGGTGCCTGATATTTAAATATATCCTGTCTATTCAGTTTTAAAGAAAGATGATATACTATTCATAAACTTTCCTCCAATTGTTTTAAGATTAGGAAGTATTTATTTAACACTTGGAATTTTAAGTTCTAAGTTTTATGTTCTTTTTTTTTTTTTTTTTTT